CCAGTGTTGCTAATTCCCGAGCCCGCAAACTCAGCCGTTACACGAAACTTTTGGCACCGGGTTGCCTTTTGGCCCAGGCGAGTTTGCCCTCTCAGTCGGCCATCTTGAGATTGAGTTGCGATGATCTTAGCGAGATGTACTATACCTTTGTGGTTCCCCCTCTTAGGGCAAAAAGGAACTGTTTGGGTATTAAGTTTGAACCTTCTGAACTTAGGGGGGTCACTGCTTTCAATCCCGAGCTTCACAAGGGTTCTTGCTATTTAGCACTTAATGCACTAGCGATGGGTGACTGCGGTGCCGTGGAGTATGCACAACAAGCACATTTCAATGTGCTGGCAAGTCTGGGGGGCAGCATGCGGCCCACTGAATTCGTGGCTTACCGCCCGAGATCTGACTGCATGGAGTTTTTATCCATAGATGATCACATGACAGCTCAGGTGTGCTCACGATTACAGTTGCGCAATCGCGCTTCCCTTCGCGATACTGAAATCTTTGCTGCTGCTGACTCGTCGTATCCTCTGGTGGGCTTGGTGCCCCACCCGGGGAAACGACGACGTCAGGTGACCTCTGGGACGTTTCTTGGTGCTGACATTGATGGTCTGGAAGGCTTGGTGTCGGCGCCTCGTCACCGGGTGGGCGTCCTCATGAAGATCACTGCTTTGATTTCTCGCCGTGGCTGCTGCTCGCCGTCTCTTTTAGCGTCGGTGTTGGGACTTTGGATCCACGTGTTATTGTTCAGGCGGCCTGCCTTTGCAATTCTCGGTTCTGTCTTCGTCGACGCGCGACGAGTCCCGGCACACAAGGTTATTCAGCTTCAGCGCGACTCCGTCAACGAACTGGCGTGTCTTTGTGCTGTCGGTCCGCTTTTGCAAGCCGACTTGCGTGCTGTTTACCCTAGCAAGCTTTACGCGATGGACGCGTCACCAACTGGCGCTGGGCTCTGCTGCGCCGACTTGCCCGAGCACGTGGTGAAAGAGTTGTGGCGACACACTGAGCAGAAGGGTTTCTACACAAAGCTTCTGGACCCTGCTTCGGCTCTCTTGAACACCCTTGACCTGTCCGAGGACCCTGGCGCTGCCTTTGTGGAAAACCTTCCCTCGGGTGACCCCGCTCCGTTTTCACCTGAGCCGTTGCCCTTGCGTGCGCCCCGTTGTGGGGGTGGTGCTTTCCTCTGCCTGTTTGGCGACGAGAACAACTGGGCTGCTGCGCACGCGCGCGCTGGACTTCGTGACTTCGGCCTTGAGCGCCCACACCTGCAGACGTTAACTTTCGAGGCCCTCGGGGACCGTGGCGTCTTCTCTGAACTTTGTGAGCTTGCTCTCAGCGGTGCTGTTCACGACTGGCACTTTGACCCGCCCCTGGCCTCGTTTTCTGCTTCACGTGGTCTCCGTTCTGAGGCCTGCCCTGTGGGTCTGCCTGGAGGCCCCTCCGAAGTCTTCTTCCACACCACTCTGGCGCGGCGCTTGTGCTTCCTACTGTGCCTCGCTGTCAGCGCTGGTTCGTTTGTTAGCGCGGCTCACCCTGCTGCAAGCCTTTTGTTCCGGCTTCACTGCTTCCGTGGCCTTGTTGCTCTGGGGGCCGTCCTCACAGAGGTGTCAGCTTGTGCCTTCGGGTCGCCTTCTGGTCTTCTCACCGCCTTCCTTCACAACAAGCCTTGGCTGCACCAGCTTGGTTGTGTTGCCGGTCGCTGCACCTGCTCTTCGGCTGCCCTTCACTTTCCACCTGTGGGCTCCTTTACGCGGGCCAGCCTTGACGCGTTTTGCTCTCGCTGCCGCCCTGACGTCGCTGCCCTTCTGGGTCGGGAGCCTTCTGTCGGCGAGTCGGTGCTGTCCTTCTGTCGTCGGTTCCCTCTGCCGTTCGCTTCTCGTGTCGCGGCGGGCAGCGCCCTGGCCTGCACGGGTGTCACTTCAGTGATGCCGGCCTCCGCTTTCCTAGCGACCCTCCTCTCCCTAAGGTTTTGTGGTTTAGGCTCCCTACCCTGCGTACCTGAGGATAGTCTTTTTGAGCCCCGGCAGTTCTTTGACGATCCTGAGTGGATCAGTGAACTCGCTGACTGCCTTCACTTCAAGGAAGTTCTCAGGTATAAGTTTCTGGGTTTAGGCCACATTAACGTTCTTGAAGCGCGGGCCTACAAGACCTGGCTAAAACTGTGCGCAAAGCGGCATCCGAACTCTAGGCTGGTTGGGCTCATCGACAGCCGGGTTCTTCTGGGCTCTGCTGCGAAGGGCCGCTCGGCTAGCCCTGCCTTGTGCCGCGTTTTACGCTCCTCGGTTCCCTACGTTTTGGGGTCTGGCCTTTACCCCGGTGGCCTTCACGTTTACTCCTCGCGCAACCGCGCCGACGGACCCTCCCGTGGCCGCCCTCCAGCTCCAGCCTCCAAGCCCTGGCCTGTCTGGCTTGACACCTTGGTTTCTGGTGACTTTCGGCGTTTTGACCTCGTCTGCGCCGCTTCTGCCGTCCCGCGGTTGTTGGGTCGCTGGCTGCGCTTGCTCCTTTTGCTTGCAGGTGACGTTGAGCGCAACCCTGGCCCTTTCTACACGGGGGGGCCCAGGGGCAGTCTTGACATGGAAGGTGGCTTCGCTCCTTCCACGCGCCACAAGATGGACAAAGCCCTGTCTGCCTTCAGTGTGTGGCTCGACGCCACCTTCGGCCTTTCTTTGGCTGCGGTCCTGTCTTCAGCTGCCTCTGCCTCGGCTGCCCTTCGCGCCTTTGGTCTTTACCTTTACTCCTCAGGGCAGCCCGCTACTTGTTGGTCTACGCCATCACCGGCGTTCAGGACTCACACCCGGAGTTCCGTTCACACTTGTCCTCTGCATGGCAGGTTGACCGTAAGTGGCAACAAGTTGAACCTGGTGAATGCCGCCCCGTCATCTCCCAGCCCATCCTTCTGGCTGCTGTCAGTCTGGCTCTGTGTTGGGGCTGGTGTGATTGGGCGGCCGTGACCCTCGTCGGTTTCCTTTGCATGTTGCACCCTTCCGAAATGATCGCCTTGGTCAGGGCCGACCTTGTCTTTCCTGAAGACGCTCTCTCCCCGGATCCTGTTGCTTATGTTCACATTCGCAACCCCAAGACCCAACGTTTTGCCCGCCGTCAACACTCGCGTCTTGAAGATCCGTTGGTCTTGCTCCTGCTGGAGGCCCTGTACTTCAACCTGCCTCTTTCGGCTCGCCTCTTCCGTGGCTCGATGCATGTCTACCGTCGTCAATGGAATTGCATCATGTCGCGTCTTGGCGTTCCTCACCGCCTTTCAGACAAGGGCGCTACACCGGGAGTCCTTAGGGGCTCAGGCGCGACTTTCCTCTACCTGGAGACGGAAGATTTGCCCCTCGTGGCGTGGCGGGGGCGGTGGAGCAAGACCAAGACGGTGGAGTTTTATCTCCAGGAGGTCGCGGCCCAATTGCTCTTGCAGAGACTTCCTCATTGGGCTCGCGAGCGGATTCGTCTCTTGAGTAGCTTCTCCAGAAGCTTGGTCCTGAATGTAATTCAGGACTGTGGCTACCGCCAAGGAAACTGAGAATGGAGAAGGCTGCCTTTCCAGCTTTGACTTCGCCCTTCGGGGCCCCACTCCTTCACCCCTAGGGGTTTTTCAGTTTAGGCCCCTTTAGGACCTCTGGAGCTTCTTTCGGTTTAGTCCCCTCCTTCGGTCCTTTTGGCAAGTCTGGCTCTGCCGCAGGCAGCTTCGTTACTCTTCGCGGCCGAAGGCCGACTCTCGAGACAACTTCGTGGCAAGCAGCCGAAAAAGCGGGAGCAAATATCCCGTAAGAGCCGATCAGACGCGACCGGCTTGAAGCTGTGTTCTCTCCCGCCCGGCCCACCCGGGAGAAGGCTGCCTTTCCAGCTTTGACTTCGCCCTTCGGGGCCCCACTCCTTCACCCCTAGGGGTTTTTCGGTTTAGGCCCCTTTAGGACCTCTGGAGCTTCTTTCGGTTTAGTCCCCTCCTTCGGTCCTTTTGGCAAGTCTGGCTCTGCCGCAGGCAGCTTCGTTACTCTTCGCGGCCGAAGGCCGACTCTCGAGACAACTTCGTGGCAAGCAGGCGAAAAAGCGGGATGTTTAAAGCATCAAGTCAACCTAGTGGCTTGATCCAAATTTGATACATTCGTGTTGCTTTGTTAGAGCCAAGCTCTTGTGGCTCTGGTTTTTAAACAGCGTTTTGGTCACAGATTGGCGTAGGCATACTGGGTCGTGAGCTGCAACATGTAAACTTTCGGAAACTCGAAAGACATCTCGAACGCATTAAACAATGGCCCCTAGCACCGTGGAATATCCGAACATTTTCACATCATCTCGCTGCGTTTTACTGCTCAAGCTACAGTGGTAGCTGTGTTTTGGGAGCTCATTCCTCCCAATACATGCCTAGTCATTAATGGTTGTTTTTTCTTTTCCGGAAGACTGAGGCATGAGTTTTATTCCGGAATGGTGACATATGCGATGTGCAGCAATGCGGTAAATCAGCTTGAGTATGTTGGTGTTTCGACGTTGCACGAAAGGGTGACAGGCTGTCAGCCGGAGCTCGCCCCAGAATGGCGTGAAATTTGCCCATGGTTCCAGCAGGTTGCCTTGAGATGCAGCTGGTCGAGTAAACGAAGTTCCACCAGCGAGTCAACATGCACAGATGGAACGCCAGCCGCATATGGAGCAGCAAAACAGCTGTGAAAGCTCCAAAGTTGTTTTGTCATGTCAGAAGACTTCATTTTGAGTCTATGCAGCCATCCGTTCCGCAGCACTCATTGGGCAGCACACGAACCAACTGTCGGTTGGGCGTCGTCCTCATGCTATTCCGTCGCAGAACTCACTAGGTTGATCTTGAAACACGGATCCCCACCTGCATCCCCCCCGTTTGATACACAGCTTAGGTATAGATTTACTTTTCTTTCCGCAGCTCTTGACGACCAAAAGGGTCATCCCCCGACTCGGAAGTCTAGAAGATGGTCAGTCCACGAACGTGGTGTTGAGACATAAGCTTTTGACCCGCTCTGACACCCAAGAGGCTCTCAGATCAAATGCCCCCAACCGCAATCCAGAACTCAAAGTCTAAGTGCGAAACCCTTAGCTCCGAAACGCTGGACTTGCGTGCAGGCTTCGTGGCCAGCCTGTGTCTGATCCGGGCCCATCTTTCTTGGGCACTTCGCGATGTGAGCTCTGAGCGCCACTCTTAGGTGGGGGCAAGTGTTAAATTTGCCCTGAAGGGACGGGAAGAGATGAAGAGAAGGGTAGCGTGCCTGGTGATTTCAGACAGTCGTTGTTGGTGGCACAGCTTTTTTGTTGTAATGGTACCGTTGCTGATCAACCGCATTCAGTTTGTCGCTGTTGACCCTTACCAGTCATGAGGTGTTCATCAGCGTTACAGGGGGCTCTTCTCGGCGTGTTGTGAGGAGCCATATGATCCTTACAAAGTTCATGTTCGTTTTAATTCCTCATCCCTACGACATGGCGGTATCAGAACCTCGCAGCTCATCAGCACTGGCGCAGGCTGTCGCAGGAAAGCAGATCTACAGAAGCTTGCAAAAAATTGTGGTGAAGCAGCAAATGCCAACCCTAAAACTCGACTTGCAAGCGAACCATAGGGCACGGAGAGTGGAACGAAGGACAACGGGCAGACAGCCATCAGCGAAGCAACGAAATATCCTTACCATCGAGAGTAAGCACGGTCCAGCGAGAAAAGAAAGAAGATCTGAAACAGAGAATGTGAGAAGAACTCAGCAAGCAAAAAGAAAGAAGCAGCTGCGACGGAGAGCCAGAGAAGACTAGAAGCCATTGCAGATGCGGCGTGTTCTAGGGAACTCAAACTGCATATGGAATCATCAAAGTGAGCATTTCACTGGGGCTTTGCGTGACATTCTGCCCGCCTGTGCCCTGGGCATCTGAACTCAACACAGACTCCAACCCTAAAATCCTGGACCCATCGAGCCCTGGACTTCAAGCCTCCGCCCTAAACGATCCTGAACCTGAAACCCCAAGCTCGAACCCCAACAAGCCCTCTGAGTACGCCCTTTGGAGCAAGAGAGAATTCTCTGGAAGTAGGGTGCCACCGGCCTGGCGAGTTCTTTGCGTGCTTTAATGTCTCAGCCAGGTTTCGCCTTGTTCCACTGGGTTGTTATTCCAGTTTAGAAGCAGAGGCCAAACTGCGCGTTTAGGGTCTGAGATTTCCGCAAGTTTTTGCAGGATTTCCTCTTGTACGCACTTTCTTGCCTTTCCGCCTGTTCCCGCGTCTTCGCATTTCGTTTCTGGAACGGACTTGATCTTAGGCGGACTTCTTCGACACCGGTACTGCTACCATCAATGCCAGTTCTGCTATGTTTCCTCTTGCTTCTCTGCCCGTCTTAGTACGACCGTGGCTGCTACTAGTGCTGCTACTATTATTGTTACTACTACTAGTACTACTACTA